GCTCAGCACAGCTGCTCACAGCGGCAGGTGAGGGCTGGTCTCTGCCATCTGTGCGCTCACGGGTCTAAGGAGCTGTGTCATGGCAACGTCCCCTTGGGCTGATCACCCTGCCCACCTCCCCAGGTGCAGGAAGGGTCCACAGTCCATTGCCAGGCACCGTTACATGTTTTAGGGTGACAGAGGGACACTCCCACCACGGGTGACCTGTGACAGCCCCTTGCCAGCCCTTCCTGCCTGTTGGCTCCTTGCTCTCAGATGAAACTGCCCTGGTTCCAGGAAGGGAGAACAAGGGCTCGAACCACACAGATTTACAAACCCTCCTGTTGACTGGGCTCAACTCTGAGCAGTCACTGGCACAGTGACAAGGAGGAGCATGCCAGGCACAGTGCATCAGGGGCTGCTTGCTCTGCCCAGTTCAAGCCCTAGAAACAGCCTCAAGGGCAGGCAGTGGGATCACCTCCAGGAGGTGCCACATCTCTTGCAGGCAGAGGCAGAATGGGATGTAATACACACGTTCTCTCCCAGCTCTCACCACATCCGCGCTGCCCTGTTCCCCCATTGCAAAGCATGGGGCGGGTAAAAGCTGCAGCAAGGCGAAGGATGACAGCAAAGCCATCATATGGATTAATGACCAGTGCAGGCTTGGCCAAGGGCCATAGCTGGTCAGAAGGAGCTTGCTTTAATGCTGAGCCAAAGCATGAGGCCCAGAGTCTGCACCTTGCACATGCTGTCCAGCACAACGCTTGCCAAAGCTGTATAACCAACGTGCGGCACCCCAGAGAACTTCCCAGGGAGTCCACTGCCAGGCTAGGTTTCCTGGTTTGGAAAGTTCGCCATTAGCTTCTCAGCTGCAATAAAATCAGATGAAAGTGTGCTGGATACTTGGTTGATCTGCTGCCCACATCACCACAGAGCTACTGCACAGCCACAAACAAATGGGAATGAAAGGTCTGAGTCAATGCAAGGTGCCCACAAAGGGCGAAGAGCCTGAGGGAAAACCCCTGGCCTGAAACTTGGCAAAACATTGGAAAGATAATGAGAACTGGACCTCTGCCACCCAGAGAGCTCCAGAATACATCTGCCTCTTACTTGGCATCTCTAGAAATTTAAGTTTCCTGGGGAGAAGAAGCTCTGCCAATGAGAAAAGCAGCACAGAACATCACTGTGAGCTGCAGCACAGAGGAAGAAGCAAACTCAGCCCTGAGCTGGCAAGGAGAAAATGGCAAGAGCCAATGCACAGGTCATGGTGCAGCAGGGCCATCAGAAGCTCTGAGACAGGCAGAGACATGAAGCCACTGAGGAGACGTTCCACCTCAAGGCCACTGTATAGTCCTTGGCCCCGCAATGCCCAGTTGGATGGAGTGACCACTCCCCCTGACCAGCTGCCAGGAGATGGGGCAGGAGCAGCTCCATCAGGGTCTGTAGGTCCCTGCCGATGCTCCCAGGGAAGCCTCTGGTGCCACAGCTCACACCCATCACCCAGCTGATGCCAAACACCAGTTTGCCCCATTGTGCATGCCAGGTGCTCTATAAATAGGGAAGACTTCAGGCAACTCGAGGCTGCAGAAGTCAAACATGCTATGGCTGAATTCCCTGTAAGGGCTCAGCTGTGCTGCAGCTCAGAGCATCCCTCCTCCCAGTGGCAGCCACAGAGCAACAGCCAGGGCTCAGGTGGGAAAGACCGAGGCCAAGGCACCTTCCCAAGGCTGGGATTCTCTGTCTGGATCTGGCTTTCAGGCTCCATACAACTCCCGGATGGATAACGCTGCCCCATCCGCCCATGCGTGCAGAGGTGACAGGTACCCATGACCCGAGCCAGCTGGTCATCGCCCAGCCCAGGGGGCTAGCCGGCATTGCCTGCAGTGGTGTCGGGATGAGCAGGGTTCAGCTATACAAGCCTGCCCAGCATGTCACAAACTGCCACCCACCTTCCCGTCCCTCAGGACCCTTCTGCTCAGCCTGGTGGGGGCTGCAGAGGCCAACTTCCAGTGCTGTGCAGGCATTTTCACCCAACAAGACATTCTGAGCTCAGATAAATCATTCCTTAGATGAAAGTGTCACAGGAATCCTAAATAAGCCCATCTCAGCACCACGGCTCTGGAACCACCCAGGGCTGCCCAGAGGAGCCGCCAGGGCCGGAGCAGCCCGCTGACTCTCCTGGCTCGAGGGATGCATCCCCATCTTGCCTTTCTGTACGTCAGTTAACCTGGTCTCACACAGGGGGCCGGGGCTGATTCATTCTCGCAGTGCCTTTGGAGATGGCAGATGCTTTATTTTTGGCTCCTTGGTCTCGCACACAACAAAACCATTCAGAAACAAGCAGTGTCTGTGCAGCACCTCTATGGCTTCAAAGCTGCACACCCACCACAGAAAGCTCCTTCAAGCCTCAAATCCAAAACCTAATTAGGTTTAAGATGTCATTTCTCATAACAGACAAAACGGAGAGGAAAAAAGTGAAGAAGCGACATGTCCCACTGCAGGCAGCACAGAGGCTCCCAGCAGCTGACACGGGGACACCAGTGCGGGGAGGCACAGCCCAGCCAGAGGAGAGCCACCAAACATCTGTCCTGCTGTCACCAACCCCAGGACATGGCACATCCTGGGATCCCTCCATGCTTCCTGCTGTCTTGGTGCATCTGGGAGGAGAGCGAGGGAGAAAGGGGGGCACAGGGCAACGATTAAGGCTGGGGCAGAACCAGTGGGAGAGCAGAGGGTGTCCACTGCATCACATCTGACGGGCTCCCAGGCTCAGCATGTGCTGGAAGGGCAGGGGTGACGGCAATGGTCACCGAGGCACAACCTCTGGCACACACAGACTGGCGGTGCCTAGCCCCACGGGGTGGCGATAGGCTGGGACACTGACTCTACATCACCACTTCTTCTGTGACTGTCCCACTTCCAGAGCATGATGAAGCAGATGCAGTTAGGATGGAGAGACTCGTCAGGTGCTGGGGAGCCTCCCCAGAGCAGCCGAGAAGTCCCTGCTCATCCTTTCAAAACCCGAGGGATTTACTGGCTTCGCTCTCAGATCTCCTGGCACTTTCTGTCTTTGGATTCATCAGCTGAAAATGAGAGCTGAGGATTTTGTAGAGCTTTGTGCAGTCCCCACATCCCAGCTGAGCTCCGTTCAAGAGGCGCTGGCACAGCTGGGACTGAGGGTGCTGGCTGGGACACCCCAGGATGAGCAGAGCCCTCTGCCCAGCAAGCACTCCTGATCAAACCTCAATGAGCTTGTTGCTTTTCATGAACCTTTTTGCCAGAAGATATTTTCCACTGTCCTGAGAGAGGAACCCAGCTTTTGCGAAGGACTGTGCACAGGATTGTGCACCTTCCCAGCACAGACCGCATCCTGCCTCTGTATCTGCTCCACACCTCCACCTCAAAGGGAAAGCGGGTCCCCCTCACCATCACTAACCCCCCTAACAGCTACAGCACCATGGTGAGTCCTGAGCAGCCTTCTCCTTGCACCTCACCAATGCTCTTGTCCGGCACTGATAGCCCAGCAGTATGGACAGAGTGAAGACAAGTATCATTTAATATATCTGCATAATTTAGGCAGAGCAGCAGAGTCCTTCCAAAATATGAGAGCAGAAAAACAAGATGAAGGTTTCTTTCAGGTCTGCATGCCATTAAGGACCTATGTAAGTCCTTTCAAATCTTCTCCTCTCTTAGAAAGAAGGCATAGGGATACCTTAAATTCCTATTTCCATTACAAGCCACCCCTGTGGCTGAATATCACCTACAGAATTATGTCAGCTGATGAATGAGTCAGTCAGCTGGAGCAGTGGCGCACTCATCATTCTGCTTTACATTGAACGTGAAACATTTATTATTATACATCATAAAGACTAATCTCAACATACGAAAGGCTTGCACACCCATGCCTCCTTCTAGCCCTCCACAGAAACTACCATATCCCAATAGCACCCAGATTCCCAGGGATCTGCAGCTCATGAAGGACATTCCCACAGGTGACCTTCAAGGACACCTTTCTGACTCAGAGATCTCCTACCTTATTATTCATGCTGATTGGTGAAAGGGAAGAAAAACACCCATTTGTTTGTGAGGAAAAAAAAAATGGACTAGGCTTCAGACTCTTTCATTTTGAGCACAAAAAACCATGATGCCTGTCTGACAATCAGATTATTTGCAAAAATCTCTTCTAATCTCTGCATGCCCTGACTTTTTCTCCCTCGCTTGCTTATTCTCCTAATTACGGTGGTGGTGTGGTTCTTTGCTGGGAGATAACCACATTTCTCTAAAACTAACCAGCTATCACCGACTGCGCAGAAGAACCAGGAGGAGAGCACGTTTTGTGGACAGGCAGGATCAGACTTCTCAGCAATGGGCTCTGGATGACACAGGGAGATCGTAGTGCCACGGTGGTGACAGCCTCAGAGGTGTCATCTGGGGGCCACCTTTGGCCAGAAGACACTACTACGGCTGCTAAGAGCCATCAGGGTCCTGGGCCCAGAGAGATGCCTGGGGCAGGCACTGAGGCTCCAGCTCCTCCTGTGGCAAGGAAAACCACTGAGTGCATTGAGTGCCCCCATCTCAAGAGCTCACTTCTCTGGTTTTATATTTAGTCCAGTTCACCTGTGGTGAAAAGCACCCAAAGGAAAGGCAAGGCAACACATGCGAGTCAGGAATTCCTGGCAGCTTCTTTGCATTCAATATGAGTGGCAAACAAGGAAGAAATTTCTCTCCCTTGTGCTCTCTGCACCCTCTACACAGCATTTAGGAAAATCCCAGGGGAGCTTTTGCGCTTTGCTGGATGTGGTTTGACACTGAAATGCAAAGTACCACCACGTGTCTCTCCCCCAGCAGGAGCCACGTCCCGGTTGCTCCCACACGTGTGCACACAGCTCCCCTGCACGGCAGAGTTTTCATGGGGAGCTCTGCAAAGCTGTGGGAGTAGCTCTGACCCAGCAAGAGCTGGTGCAGGATGCGGTCCCACGGTGCGCACAGCCTGCCTGCGTTCCACCTCCGCGTTTACTCACTGATCTCCAGTTGCCTCTGAATCCTGCCCTTGCAGCGCTCCCGGTAGTCGGTCTGCGTGGCGTTGTACTCGGACATCACCTCCACGAACTTGCGCGACAGCGTTGAGTGCTGCAGAGGGGAGAGGAAGAGCGAGTGAGGGGAGGAAGGACCCCCCCTGCCACACCCAAGCTCGGGAAAGGCTCAGCCCTGAGCACCACCGGCACCTCTACCAGCCCAAAAAGCACTTGTAGTCCAAAAGCTGCTCCGAGGAGTGTGACAAGTGTGGCACGGTGGGCAAGTGGCAGCAGGTGACATGGCGCCGGGGGGGTGGACCAGGCACACCCTGCACCCAAGCCCAACCCCAGCATAGCCTTCAGGCCCCAGAGGACACGCTGGGGTGGTGGCAGACCTGGGGGTCATGGCTGGGGGGACCCATCATACACCAGCCCAGAGCTGAGGCCACAGTGGTGCCCTGGGCTGAGCTATGCCGGCCCCTGCCGTGCTGCCGGGATGTGCCGGATCCAGCACAGGCGCAGGACAGACCCGTGGTGGTCACTTTGTGGTGCTGGAGCTGGGCAAAGAGGCCCTGGGGGTCCCTGCACCCCGCAACCATTGAATCTCCTACCTGGCTGGGGCATGGCTGGCAGAGGGAGCCCAGGGACAGGGGCACGCAGGCTGGGACAGGGACACAGGGGATGTCCGGGGTAATTGGAACAATTATCCCTCGGAAACACGGTCCCACTTTTCCTGCCCACACTGGAGGGCTCCCCTGAGCACAAGCCCCTGCGGACATGGGGGATGACTGCCTGCCCCAAACTAAGCGGCTGCCTGCAGCTGCCAGCCCAGGGCAGATGATGTGGCAAAGACGTCAGCCCCTCACAGCACCCTCATCTTATCAGGCTGCTTTCCATTCTCCAGGAAACGTGCCAGAAAATCTTGGAGTTACACCTAACCAGGGTTGTGCTGAACATGCTGACCCCCCCCCAGTGCAGGCCACTGCCCCCAGTGGGGAAGCTCATCCCCACGTAAGCACCCACGCTGGGGCCTGACTTACCATCTGATCCAGCTGCCACGCTGAGCACAGCAAACAGCCCTGAAGATCTTTCCAAAGGCCAGGACAGAGCATCGCATTCGCCTTCCATCCAAACACTTAAATCCCTTGAATGAGCCCTTTCACCAGTATGCCAGAAATTGAGCTTCACAGGATCATGGACTCACAGAATGGTTTGCTTTGGAAGGGACCCCTCAAAGATCATCCAGTCCCATGGGCAGGGACACCTTCCACTAGGTAAGGCTGCCAGAATACAAAAGCCTTTGGATTGCTCTTCGGGGTTGTGGAAGGCTTTGTTTGGAGGTAGTTTTGCTTGCAACTAAAAAACTGATGGATTTCCTTTGTCTCGTTCTTGGGAGTGGTTGGGCTGTTTATAGAGACACAGAAAAACCCACCCTGCAGCTGGGAGCTTTACTCTGACCGATGGCACTCACACAACAGAAGAAGGGCCAGCAGCAGGACCTGGGACTCAGGTATGGCCACCAAGCGGGGGCCAGCGCCAGCTGCCCTCGCACCACTCCAAGCTCTTTGTCCTCCATGGCTGTTGGCAGCAGCCAT